CGGGGCTCCCTGCCCCTCCTGGGGCCGGCGCTTCCGTGGGCCTCCCGTCCTCGGGGGCCGAGGGCTTTCCCCTCGGGGTTCCGTGGGACCGGTGCTCCGCAAGGATGAGGGCTTCCCCGCTGTACCCCACAGGGATCGGGGGGCTCTGCTCCGTGGCTGTGCGGGGCCTGTGTGTCTCCCATGGCTGCTGGCGCCCTTGGCCTGTCGCCTGCTGGTCTGAGGGCTCTGCTAGCCCTAGGCCTGTTCCCCGGGGGGCTGAGGGCTCCCCCAGCCTGAGCGGAGCATAGGAACGTCCATAAGTGTTGGTGAAACGGGGCATTAGGCGTGTCTGCTGACAAATCGCTTAGTAGATCATCTGGTTGTCCTTTGATGCATTATGTCATTTGTCTAGGTGTCAGTTTAAGGCAGTTTGGCCCAGCACGCCTACCGCCTTTAACTTATTGTGCTGGAGCTGACGACATGTTCACTCAAAACCTTGTGTTCTTACCAGCACCTCTTCTAATTTCGGCAGCTGTTCAAAGCACAGGGAGTAGGTGCTATTCCATGTTCCTATCTTTGTTGAACTTACTGGGCAGAAGGAATGCAGCTCTTTTCCTTTCCCTTTAAAACCATATTCCTTCTGCTGCTATGCCAGGGTCATTGATCTAGCGGTGTATCTGGTAGCTATGTTTCAGACACGCTAACTTGCCATTTCTTTCTTGGTAGCAATTGTTTGTTTCGGGCCCTCGGTGACCAGCTTGAGGGGCACTCGCGGAACCACCTCAGACATCGCCAGGAAACGGTGGATTACATGATAAAGCAGCGGGAGGATTTTGAGCCTTTTGTGGAGGATGATGTACCCTTTGAGAAACACGGTATGGTCTCTGTAGGGCTTTAATGGGAGGGGTTGTTGTGTAATGTGATTACATCTCATTTGAGCACCTTCTTACTAAACAGCTCTTCATCCCAGAACTATGTTAGGGCTCCTTTCTAGTTTTTAGAAACAGTGAGTTTACATTCTATTGTGTTTCTGTAGAAAGATGAGCTATTGAACTTGTATTATATTTGTCTTGGAAATTGCTTAAATTTAGGAGAAACTCGGAGAAGGAAAGAGAGGCAAAAAAAGGCAAGGGGTAAAAATTTGATGTTTTCAAAGGGCACTTGCAAAAATGGTCTTGTTCTCCTTGAATACTGGTGGGTGTTGAGTGGGTTCCTTTTTCTCCTTGACACTTGATATTTCATAGTGGTAACCCAGGGAAGACCCAAAGCAGAGACCAGTCCAGCCTTTGTTCTAACAGCTTCAAGGATGTGCCAAGTATCCTGCGGGTGATGCAGGAAAATGGTTTGGTCATTTAATATGTGGCACTCTTCCTTCTGAGCTAACGCAGAGCTGATGGCCTTGCATAATTTAAGGGTGTGCTGCATTTTTTTAGAGGCTTCTGTGGTCATTTATGATGCGTTAACTTCTGTCACTGCCAAATTCTTGCCTCAGCAGTCACCATTTCACAGCTGGGATTTCCTTTCCAGAATTTCTTGGGCTTGTTTTGAAATTTTGTTACTCGCTATCCCTCCCAAGCCTTTGGAAGTGTCAGAAACTAGGTTTCCAACTCTTCTGAATGTTTTTTCCTTCAGTTACCAATTTGGCAAAGCCTGGTACCTTTGCTGGCAACGATGCTATTGTGGCCTTTGCAAGGAACAATCAAATGAATGTGGTTATTCATCAGCTTAATGCTCCGCTGTGGCAGGTGAGAAAAAAAACTTGTGTATTTTGGCCTAATTTTTAGCTGATGAATACAAATAGCGTTGAAACTTCCTGATCTATTAAAAGAGAGCAGTTGGTAGCTGGACACGGTGTAGAGCTGTGCTTTTTCAGCCTTGGAGGAAAACACTCCAGATTTCAGCTAGGAGGAGAGGGAATGAAAGAGAACAATGAACGCGCAAAAGATAAGTATGTGGAGACAGAGCAGCATGTTTTAGTTTGGTTTTAAGCTACTAGCTTCATTGATAAGTTTCTCTCTCCTGAAGATCAGACTACATATGAGGTGAGTTTTTTGATAGGAATTTGAGCCAAGCTTAAGGACACCTGTATGGATAAGGCTCAGGAATATGGAAGTGAAGGTATAGCAGGGCAGTCCCTGTAGTGTGTTGGAATGAAGAAATGGAGAAATGAGGTTCTGGACTGGGCAGAAGAGGGAAGAAGTTTTAAAACCTTAAGCCAGTGTTTAATCAGCTTCTGGAAAGGACTGTGTGTATGGTTTCCACTGACAGCGGGACACTGGAACGAGTAACCCATCATGTCCTCCTACTCTCTTTTTTGCTGTTTTTCTGTGGCAAGTCCACACTGGAATGGGTCCATGCTTGATCTCTGCCTGTTCACTGAGCAAGTGAGAACCTGTATTCAAATCAGGATTGGTTTTGGCACCAATTTACAGACAGAACCAATTAAGTATATAGATTAAACAGGGCAATAAAGATAAAAGACCAGATGAAAGCTGTCAGTGGTGTCTTAAATATATTTGGAACAGTATGAAGTGGATTCCTGAACCCAAACAAGTTTAAACTCTTGTTTATGTGGCAGCTGTGGGCAGTAAGGCAGCTAACCTACATGTTTTTTTTTTTAAAAAAAAAGTGTACCTGGTAATTACACAAATAAGTAAGGCAGCTAACCTACATGTTTTTTTTTTTTTTTTAAGAAAAAGGGCACCTGGTAATTACACAAACGAGTGGGAACACTCAACTGCTTGACCCTTGAGAGTGCACAGAGGTAGTGACCCTGCAGGAGAGTTCATGGGGTGCTGTTCGTGTTTTGCTACTGTTTTGAACCGGGTACTCACCTCAGTGTACTTAACTCTTATCAATATTTTGTATATCCTCTCGAAAACCTTAAACTCTTCCCCCCGCCCCCCATTCATTGACCTTTCCAGGGCTGTAAATACAGAGTTTGTGATGAGGTTCTGTTTTGCCTGAGTGTAGGCTTGTTAGTGAAAGGTTGCCTTAGGCTCTTGAGAGTAGCATAATTAGAGCGAGCTGTTAATAATTGTGACTTAAGGAGTCTCTGACCCGCACCAAGGATACATCAGCGTGTCTCATAGTGTAGGGGATCACAACATGGTGACAATGATAGCAAGTTGCTAGACTTGACTAATCCAGGACACCCATTTTTCTTTGTTTTCTATATATCTACATACTTTTTTTTCCTCTTTCTTTGCTTTGGAGCCCCAGCAAAATTTTAGATTAGATTCCAAAGAGGGCGTTTCCAGAGAGGCAGATCAACAAGTTCCTTAAAGCAGATGGTGTTCCTTTGGTCCCAACTCTAAAGCAGGTGGTGAGTTATCCTTAAATTTTCAGAGAACCGTGTGTCTCCACTGCAGCTAAGTTGGAAAAATATGAGGAGAAACGTTCAGGGCCTCCAGCTGTTTCTCAAGCTCTGGCCTAATCAAAAGCTCTTTGGAAGTGGTCATCTCTGTATGGACTTTTTAGGGGCTTTAAACACCCTTTACCTTTTTTGGTAGTGACTGTAAATGTAGAGCTTCAAGTTAGCTCAGATGATGTATACGTTATTTTATAGGCTTTTTGGATAACTGCTTACTTTTTTTTTTTTTCAGTGTTTTTGCCTTTTTTTTTATCTGCAGCTATCTTTCACTTATAGTTCCAGCATACTGTGGAGAGAGCATGCAAAAAGAGGCTTCACTGCTGAGAGCTAAATTGGCTAATATTCAGAATAATCTTTCAAGAGCTTTGGGATTTGTTAGATACATATTTAGGCTCTGGCAGAGGAGAAGCATTGAAAATAAATCTTACTCAGATCCAACATGTTGAGTAACTTAATCGGATCAAAGGCAGGAGTTAAGTATAACTGAGTGTTGAGCTGGAACTTAAAGGTGAACAAGTGTAAAGCAGATGAATGGAGAGTATCTGTTGTGAAATCTGAAGTCATTAGTGCAGCACAAACCGCAGACGTGGTTGAAAGGTGACTTGGTGTATATTCTGTAAGTTGGGATAAGCCAATTCAAAGACGTAAAAGGATTGGGAAATTCTGGAGCCCTAAAGCAAGCGTTTCTTGCCATTTGCTTACTGACATCTCCTCCTCCAGGAAAACTGTCAGATCTTTGAACTCTGGCTTGACAGGTAAGCAAAGGAGATCTGCAAATGCCATGTAATTTTCTGCATTGTTTGCAAGAATTGGAATGCTCTGTAGCTTTTAGCTGATAGTTTGAGACACTGATGGTCGGGGGAGGAATTATTCTTGCATCAGTACAGATAATACTCAGAGCGGGAATTTTCTATGGAAGCTGCTTTACTTGGCACTGACAAAGCAAAGGAATATTTGGGTTTTAACAGTGCTCCTGAGAGGAGTTAATACATTTTCATGATTTGGCTTTATTTCTATTAGTCTTTCTTTTAAAAACAAAAGATACCCACTTTGAATGCTAACTGTTAAACCAGCATCTTGTCCCCGCTGCAGAACAAAACTTACTCTGGGGGGTGACTATTTCCACTGCGGTGTTTGAGGGGAAAAAGTCATTGTACACTCAATGGGAGCTGTTCCCTGAAATTGGATCTGGGAAGGTAATCAGAAAAGTAACAGCTCCTGTGGAAAGTTTAGAAAATAGTTTTGAGTTTTCCACTGAAATATTTTCATGCCATGTTTTGTTTGTTATGGTGTAACTGACCCAATGTTGTTTACCTGGTTTTCAAACATTATCCTTGAGACAGAAGCTCAGTTGTTACCACAGGTACATCTGGATTATTAGGTCAACTCTTCCTGTTTAAAGATGCTTCAGTAGCTATGTACTTTGCTCCTGATCAGTGTTTATCATTGCTTCAAAAAAAAAAAACTTTGAAAAATATGATGCTGAAGTTGATTCCAAATCCTCCTTTGCAATTTGTTTGTTTCATTTAGATTCGGGGCACAGACAAAAACAATGTGAGGGAGCTTCATATTGCATATCGTTATGGAGAGCACTACGACAGTGTGAGGAGAATCAATGATGATTCTGAAGCTCCAGCATATCTTCAGACAGAGGTTGGCTATGACAGAATGACCTGAGTTGGCTGTGGGTGATAAATAAAACAGATGAATGTTACCAGTTGATTTCCTTTTTCATTTGCATTGAGACTGGGAGAAGAGTTTGTTCCCTGTGTCATGCAGGGGATAGAAAAGCCCCTTGGGTCATCGTAAGTAGTGCTGCCTGCTCTTTTGAGACAGGCTGTGAAGTGTTTCAATTACTGGGCTGAAAATCAATCCCAAATCTGATGCCGTGATGTGGGCTGTAGATGTGTTGAAGCAACCCCATCTAAATCACATACTCGTGCACCTTGAATGCAGAAACAAAGGGAAGGGAGGAAGGAGATGGAAATGCAGCAGCTGGATACAGTAGTCCTCTTCATATCTCGCTTTCTTGTGTTAAGGGGTAAGCTGTGCTCCTTGAGGTTCTCCACACAAAACTGTGTAACGTGTGGTGGTGTAAAAAAATTCATGCTTCATTTCAAAAGCCGGTGATTGTTTATTGGTGTGCATGATCTTGTAGTATGTGAGAGTTTGCTCAGTAGTGCATGAGTTGTGGGAAATGGTGTTGGTGATGATGGAAGTGACAAAATTTCCAAGATGCTTTGACACAGGATATTTCTGAGAAAAGTGTGCCACAGTAATTAAATTTATTATGATGTCAGATTATTTTTTTTGCTGCAGATGGCGAAGTTGCTGCATGTGCTTGTGTGACCTGCTGGGCTTTGCTTTTCCTGCAGATGCTTCACAGCAACAAATTGAATAAGGAGGAGGAAGAGAAGCCTCAGAAGGGTGACTCTGAAGATGAGATTGGCGTTGAAACGGAAGATGCTGTACAAAAAGTGTGTAACGCAACTGGATGTTCAGTAAGTACCGAGTAACCTTTTTATATTTAACATTCAAAACTTCCTGATACGTGAAAGTAGCCTTGGGAAAAATTCTCTAAAAGTATTCGTCTTGGACAATTTCAGTACCACAGCCACAAATCAGGATGGTTTTCATCCTAGACTCAACCCTTCAATGCAGATGAAATATATACTCTGTGTGGATGCCTAATAATTTTGGAAGGTTTGCCTGTAATCTCTCAGAAACTTTACTTTGAAACAAATTCTGTAAAATTTTAAATCCTTTGAGGATGTCTATAGTAGAACATCCCAAATGATGAGATACTCTGTGAATCTCAGCTGTTGTCACTGGACAGCCTGTGTGGTTCCTGCAGATTGCTGCTTGCACTGTGCAAACGCATAGAACGGAAAGGGTCAAGAGTAAAACAGTTACGCTGAAACAGCATTTTCCTTTTTTCCTGATACTTTCAGGATTTTAAGATTTTCTCCCTCGCCTTTTTCAGAAATGGAATACAGGCTAATTGCAAGGTCATAAAAGCAGACCGCAACCCTCTCTCGGTGGTGCAGATGGTTGTTAAATGAATATATGTCAGGGATTTGAACTCTCTTCAGTGTTATCTTTCTCCTCTTGTGGACAGGACATTGATTTAGTAAGCCGGATTCTGGAAATGGAAGACTACAATATAGAATCTGCAATATTTGCCGTCTTTCAAGTGAACGAAGTGGAAAGAATCAGTAAGTACGTGGAGTTTGTCCCCTGGTGCTTCAGAAGAACACTGTCTGACGCTGACACCTCAGCCTTTTTGTGCTCAGGAAGGCTGTTAGTGAGGGCAGATTCAATCCAGCTTCTGAAATTTTGGAAGAAACTTTTCCAGAAATTTTGGAAGAAAGAAATGGCTGACAGTGAGACAGCTTCTGGATAAAGTGTGTCTGAGAAAAACCTCTGTTGTTGGTAGGTACTGAGGAGCAGTGTGATCCCCAGAGCAAAGATGGGAAATCGTGCAGCAGAACTCTGTGGGAAGAAAACGGAACTGGTTCAAGAAATCGGAGTTTGCATCAAGACAAAATGGAAAACAACAAAGGACAGGCTAGATCTGATGAAGAGAATCGAGCTAGCAGAAACCCAAAGGTATGTGAAGGGTAGTTTGGCAGTGATTTGCACACGCTTTAATGATTAGGAGAATGCTTAATCGGCAACTGTCTTCTACTTTGAATTAAAAAGAGCTTCCCCTTACCGGGTTTTGTTGCTGCTACAGCTGTGACTTCTCTGACACAAACTTTTGATAGTGACCTGTGGCACTCCTCCCAAAATGACACAAAATAAGTCCAGATGAGTAGTTTGGAATCAACATTCTCTGGCAGCTGCTTTGATACTTGCTTGTCTCCTTTCCAGTCTATTATTTTTCCTCAACTAAGCAAAAAACATGTGTTTTCAACTTTGTGTTTTCATCCTTCCCTTTCAGGTATCTAAAAAACAAAAGAAGGAACAGCAGCGGCTAGAAAAGAAGAAGCGGCAGGAAGAAAGGCACCGACAAAAGGTCTTGGCCAACAAGAGTAATTGTGCAGACAGCAACAGGAGAGAGACAGACTCAAACAACCAGGTCACCTTGGTGAAGGCCATGGAAGCTCTAAACATATGACTGAATGGGTTCTGAGTGCTCTGGTGAGAAAAGCAAATAAAACTGGTGAAGGCAAAACTCCCCTTAAGCAAGTTTCCAGTCGCCCATTGTTACCTTAAAATCTGTTTCTGCACAGAACTCCAAGCACACACAAATTTCCTGTTTCTTCAGTTGCAGGGTGAACAATTATTTGGTAATTCTGCATCAACCTGTGTGTGAGAAGAGTTGTTTGTACTTCACAAAAAGTAGAGAGTTGTTTTAATAATTTTGGGGTTAGGTGAAGGTGAGAACCTTTTCTTCACACAGCAGCGTTAGGTTTGCTTTGAGATCTCTTGATGTGCTTAGATTATTCTTTTTTTTATAGCAACTTTTTACTTGGTTATGCTTGGAGGAGATTTATTTTACCTTCTTGTCAGGGAAGGCTTAACAGTTCTCAACTCAGGAACAGGGGGTTTGGGTTTTACTTTTTAAATTTAAATAAAAATAAAGGGAACGGAATCCCCAAATCCTTTCCAAAGTGAACTGTGTCAGCCAACACTGAATCAAACGTGAGATTCCTCTTTTCTTTCCCATACAAGAATGCAGTGATAAGTTTTAATCTAACTAGAACTGCTTGTGTTGCATGAGGCTGTTCCAGAAGTGATTAAGACTGGGATTGCTGCGTCCATGCTTGCTTCTTGCTTATGTTTGAGATCAGCTCGTTTGCTAGCCTTTAGACAAAAAAAAAAAAGTAATAGCAGCAGACTCATGACCGCAGAGCCAATTCATCTGACCTGGTGAAGCCTAATGAGGTGGTAAAACGCGACGTGAGCAGGCATGAGATTTCTGTTGAGCGTTGTTACTTGGACATCTGGAATCTCATCTCCTTTGCTGTACTTGGGAGCTTTTGGGCTACTTCAGACCTTTAGTCCAAGCCAGAAAGTTTCATGGTTGTTGGTCTCCAAATGAAATCAGTATAGCCAAAGGATCAAGAGTTCTGGGAACGTGCTTCCAAATAGCAGTGTTTGCTGGGAACCCTGCCTGCTTCACTTCTCATAAATCAAGCTTTTTCCAGGGTAGGATTTTTTCATCTTAAATTCCTCTTTGTTAAAGTCTCCAAGTACCGTAGCTTGAACCCTGTGGTGCTTTCCACTATAGGATTGGGAATTTGAACTGGAGTGTAAGGACTGTGGGACTCGAACTTTGATTTATGGCTTGCAGTGTTTCAGCTTCACTCAGGTTTTTGGACTTGTATCAAGCTCTAAGCTTGAAGAAAGCACACGTGCACTTGCACACACAATAGATAACAGGAGACACTCGTCAGCCAGGGCAGAGATGAAATAGATTTTTTTTTTGGGACATAGTGTCTGGCAAGTGAAGCCAGGCATTAAGTGCTGATCTGAGTGCCAGTGGTGGGCATGAGGAACCACGGCAGGGGGAAATCTGGGCAGTATTTCCTAGGTAGGAAGGACATGGATGAGCCTTGACTTCACAGGGCTATTCTTAAAGTGAAAAATGACTGATAAAACACAGGTTTTGCCAACCTTAGATAGCCTGTTGTTAGCAGTGTGGCTTCCTGGAATTCTTTTTCCCCCAAACCATCACTTTTACAGTAGCAGAAAGAATGGCAAGTCATAGCTTAGCTGGGAGAAAGTGCAAGTCACTTCACCAGGGCAATGAGTTGAAGACAGCGGGCATAGCAAGGTAGTTCAGGGAAATGCGTCACCTCTGTCTTCCCCAGCCAGACTTTGAGTTGAAAGGTGGGTGGGTTCTTCAAGTTTTAAAAGATAGTAAGAATCTGCAGTTGTACACTAGGAATAAGGTTTTTGATCTTAATGAATTGCTATTTTGTCTTCCCGAGCCAGAGCTGATCTGAGGATTGTTGTTGCTGTAGCAACATGAGTTGTCCTGTAGCCAGCAGGCAGGAAGCTGAGCTTCCCTAGGTGTGAAGGGACCTGCAAAACCTCGCCTTGTCCTGCCCAGGCCTGCAACAACCACACCTCTTAAACAGCAGAGAGAGCGAGCCTGACCTTCAGCTCACGGCCTATGACACCTGTAGCCAAATATGTGGCTGAAAATGCTTTCATTTCTGAGTGTAATATGATTAAAACACACTCTTGATGTGCTGGGCTCCTAAGTCTTGTTAGACCAGTCAAATTCTCTTTATTTTTGCCAGGATAGCTTTGTACCTGCAAAACCATTTTGTATCCAGAGATGTTAAAACTTCCATTTTGTCTGGTTTAGATTGTTCCTTTAGCTGTTGAAATTCCCACCTACCCTTACAATGTGTAATTTTTCTAGGGTATCGTTGCAGGTTCACTTTTAGTGAAGAGAATTTGCTTTGTAAACAGGTCATGGATTTTCCTTGCAGGAGGAAGGGAGGCAAAAAACAAGAGGAGAGAAACATCATGATTCATAGCTCATGTTTACTCTTTGGTGGGGCTAACTGTGCTTGGCAATAGGCAGTCAGGACAATAAGCTCTGCACGTTCCCTTGGTATTTGGGGAGGATTGCTGCTTGAGGAGGATTGCTAGCTTACAGTTTTGAGAGTCACAAGTGGGCAGAGGGCCAGGAGCAGGCTTTGGCTGTGGCTGGACCAGCAGGGTCACTGCCAGCCTCTTGAAGGTGAGTACGCAGCAGGACGATGTAGAAAGCTGCTTTTCCTTGCATCCTATCTACCACTATCCTCTTCCCCAGACTTACTTTTTTCCAAGTCCCACCCCTGCAGGTAAGGAGTTCACTTGAACTGGAAGTTTTAAGCATTTAGCCAGGCTCTGTCTGATGTCCATAAGTGCATCTTGGCCTCTTCAACTTGCGTTGTACCCCGTCCCATCCTGGGGGGCTGCTTTTTGGTTTATTTAACAGGAGCTTCGCCTCATCTGCGGTGCCTGAGCAGTGGCAGAAGTGGTGTCATCCGTGGTATCCACATCTGCGGCGCTACCGGAGGGCGCCTGCCCTTTCTGTTGGAGTCTGGTGCAACTATGCCAGAGTTTTCTTCTCCTTTCCCCCTCTGGACTCTCAGCAGGGCCCCTGCTTCTGTTACCAGACCAAACCTCCTCTGTTTTCAGATGCTGAGTGCAATAAAGGTTGCAAAGATGTGCCAGCTGAACTGCGCGAGTGGAGTTGTGTGTACGGGGCACGCTGTGGGTTAAAGGCAAAACTTTCAGATTGATTTAATGAGTGCACAATCTGGACCCTTCCTGGGGATTCGATCCGGCTGTGGGGATTTGATCCGGCCCCTCTGAGGGGCTTCAGGAACTGCAGAAAGGGAGGGAAATTGTGCATGAAGAATGGCTTGTACTCTAGCATCATATAAAATGGAAATGGTTTATGCTCATGTGGAGCTGTGCGATCATTTGCAGGCACAAACCTTAGAGGGCAGCATCGGCTTCGTCAGCTCCGTCCTGGCTCTCTCCTCTCTCTTCCCAAAGCCTTTGAGTGGCACCAGAAAATGAGTAGAAGGAGAAACCAGTGTTTGGGAGTTGGGAAGATACCGTGCTTACTGGAGGAAGGGCGAGGAAGGATCTTGCTCATGATGAAATGCTTAATGGAGTCAGGCAGGAGCCCTCAATGATGAAGTGAAACTCAGAGAAAATACCCTTAGACCCCCTTTATTTTAGGCCCCCCCTGCTCTATAGGTGTGCAGAACACATCTCTGGAGATGGGTTAAAACCTGAGGTGCCCCCAACAAGGCCCAGGTGTGAGGGGCAGCTGGCCCTGGCTCGTTAGGGCTAATTGTGGATCCTGTGCAGCTGTGTGAGGGACGAGGTGGCTGCAGGGAGCTGCAGCCTGAGGAGAGCTGCCCGGCTGGCTCCGGCCTGCCAGGGCTTGCTGGAGACGGGGTGCCAGAAAGAGCCACCCCAAGCCCCTGAGACCACCACCACCCTGCTCCCCCATGGCTTTAGTGAGTATTAATTGCTTAAATAGTCATTAGGAGTGGGATGGGGCTGAGGTGCAGCTGAGCTCCCTGAGGGAGCCGCACTTGGAGCCTGGTTTGGGGTCTGGGTGCAGCAGCCACTTTGCTGTTCCTGTTGATCATTCTTTTTTTTTTTTTTCCCCCAAAGCTCTTAAGATTTGCTGGTTGGCGGTTAAAATGTCATTTCTGGTAAATGTTTTTTCTTAAGAAAAAGATGCAAAACTGTGTGTATGCATAAATATTTACTTCAGAAAAGCAACCGTGAAGCTCCACGCTGTTTCCTGCCCCTTCCACCATCAATTCCTGAAAAACAAATATGACGCTGGTTGTGTTTTACAAATTGCCTTTGAAATATTTTTTTTTTATTTGCAGGGATTCCCTCATTTTTATGATTTATTTAATTGTGGGGAGTGGGCTTTCCTTGTGCACTGGCTCTGGGGAAAGGCGCTGGACGCCTTTTTGGTGCTGCAGGGCTGGGCTGGGCCCACCTGGCCACAGGGAGGGCAAAACCCCCACAATTTAGACCTTTTCTGTCACATTTTGAGCTCGGTGTCTCTACCAGGAGGGAGTTGGGCCCTTGCACAGAAAGTTGGGGTAACTCTTGTAAGAGTTGTGGTAGATCCTGGCTGTTGCACTTGTGGTTCTGTCTTTTGCACCAAATCTCTGATCCTGCAAGAAAATTTGGGACGATGGAGGCCGGTGAAGGGTGTGGGAGTCAGGGGCTGTCTTTTGGACCATCCCCATGGCGTACGCAGCCCCCCGCAGTGCATTTGGGGTGTCTGGGGTAGTCCTCCTCTTACCTCTGGTGCATGGAGCTACCTTCCTATAAACCATATGTGGCCCTGGAGGGACAGTTTAATTTACTTTATCTACTTATATGTGTATAGATATTTGCTTTGATCACAGGGCAGTGCTTGTTTTCATCCACTCACCATGAAGCAACAGCGTTTGCTCTGGGGAAATTGGGGTAACAGTGCCAGGTCTCCAACCAAGATGGGAGGGTCACCTCGAACCCTCAGTATTTTGCCTCTACCGAAGGGCAAGCCCCCTCCTTTGGGAAGTCTCCAAGCTCTAAACTTCACCGTAGGCCTAGCAAAATAAATGTTTGCCCTATTCCTGGTACTTTCCCCTCATTTCCACCCCCTTCTCAGAAAATGGTTTCCAAGCCAGGATGGTCATTTTGGAAGAGATGTCCCCAAGAGCGTGGTTGTTGTGCCTTCCCACTCAGGGCTTTGACCCCCGTGCCGCCTTTTCCATGGATTAACTGGCTTCCCCAGGTGGAATATTTGTATGTGACCAGTTTGGGGCTGCAGCCAGAGGAAGGTGGCTTCTTGGAGCAGCAAGTCGTGGGCATGGCAGCACCTGGGAGCATAAGAGTTGGGGTCAGGGCAGGTGGGGACGATGCTACAGTGGTGAATACGTGGTGGTGCTCAGCCCCCGTGAGAAACATCTTGATTTGTGCCCAGGTTAGGTGCACTGTTGTGCAACAGCCTTGTTCTCCTTGGGTAAGGAAAAGAAAAATGCAAGTGGTGCGTGATGGAAGGCTAAAAAAAGCGGATGGTTATGTTGTTTGCTTGGAGAGAATCTCTCATTAAATAGGTGATGCTGAACAATCATTTTAGCAGTTTTCTTCTGGCAGAGATTGCAGGTGCACAGGGCTCTGCTCTGCTTTCAGCACGGGCAGGCACCAAGCCAGGGGGAGGAAATCGCCCCCCCCCCCCCCGGCCCACGGCGGCCC